CACAAAATGTACATATTCTATTACTGCGGGGAATGCCACACCGTCTGCCAATATTACCATTAAAGGGAGCTCACATATTCGTAATAAACATAAAAGTCTTCTGTATTCTCTTTCTGGGAAAGCACACAAATAATATTCAACTGACAAAAGAGATTTTTATTCTTTATAATTACATAATTTACTTGAATCACAAATTTTAGAGTACCAATTTTGTTGATTGCAGTATTTAAGTCTTTGTACAAAAATATTTAGAAACATGTTTTCATCACCCACTTCATGTGTGATCCACACTAAACCAAAGCCATAACTAAATAGTAAGTGTTTAACCTTTGATGCCCAAGTTATACGATTACATTCATCTAATGATTTACATAATAAATAACATTGTTTTGGATATCTAACAGTTGGCATTGCTAACAATTTTAACCAAAATGTAATGCATCGTTTATGATAATCAATAAACAGACCATGTCTACCGCATTCACCCAAAGCAGCATTATTTGAGACATAATACCCAACACCTAAAACAATTTTACAAAACTTAATGTGAAAACGTTCAACATATTCAATTTTAGAAAATCCCCATACCTCACTGGAATAAAGTAAAATTGGTTTTATCTGTGTATCAAAAATCTTAAATAAAACAGTGGGAGAAATATTCTTTAACTTGTACTGTAGGTGTTTAACTGAAAATAAAGCCTTATTGGCTTTCTGAACAAGAACATTAATTGCTTTTGACCAACATAATCTATTAGAAAATACAATTCCCAGGTATTTATAATACATTGATATCTTAACCTGATCACTTCCAAACATCCATTTTTCTGTTCCCCTCAGCTTACCACCGTTTCTAAACACTAATATCTCTGCCTTATCTAGATTAACATTTAATCCCCATTTAATACTATACTGCTTAAGTACATCAAGCTTTCTCTGCAAACCAACAACACTGTCATCAAACACACACAAGTCATCTGCATAAAATAACAACAATATATCCATACATTCTTGGCCTACAAAAATACCCCTAACATTGGATTCATACAACATATTTTCACATTCTACCACAAACAATGAGAACAGCAAGGGGCTGAGTACACATCCCTGTTTCACACCACTCAATGTATCAAAATAATTGGATATTGACAAATTAGTTATTTTAACAGCAGATTTTACATTTGCATAGATATCAAACAAAGCATTAAATAGTTTACCATGAATGCCCCTTTTCAATACAGAGTACCATAATAATTTTCATTAATAGAATCAAATGCTTTTTTTAAATCAACAAACAAGCAGTAAAAGCAACCATTTAGACTAACAACTAGTCTCAGAAATGAACATATTTTACTGAAAAAAGTTCAAAGTAAAAAAAATATAATATAATGAAAAGGAGCCCTGAGACTTTCTTCATTTTCAGAGCTGAAGCTGAGGAATTCTAGACTTGCCACATTTTCTAGACTTGCGTGGGCTTTCTTGGATATATTTGCTTCAGGGTCTGTACGACAGACTAGCAACCATTGGTCTTTGTGAGATACTTTTGTACTAAACATTGTAAAATAAAAATATTGTCTAGAGTGCTGTAACCAGCTCTAAACCCTGCTTGTGATTCAGGCAGCTGTCCATACAAAGAACAAAACAGTGTTAATCTCTTGTTCAAAATGAATGTAAAAACTTTACTCATAATGTCAGTAAGTGTTATGCCTCTATAATTATTAACTTCTGAGGCTTTTCCTTTTTTTGTGTAATGGTACCACTAATCCCTTGGTCCATTCTCTTAGTGCTATGATAGTCGTAAGTGCCATACATTAACATTAACTTACGACTATCTTAGCACTAAGAGAGCTTCAAAAATCTAGGCCCAGGTCTCCATATGAGTTAGGTCCCCAGTTCTGGACAGGTCCCCAGCCTGATGTAGGTCCCCAACTCTCACACATGTTTCTGTTCAGCACATGTCTCTCCCAGTAACTGTCATGCATGGTGCCTGTTCCACCACTAACCCATCACAGTAACATGTGTAAACACAACACTGTACATTCCACTAAAGTTCAGGCCTGTAATTAAGTGTTCTAGCTCTGTACAGCTGGCTGTTAGCCTGTCTTGAGGGCAGTAGTATTTCATGAGTCCACCATCCAGTGGTTTCATAAAATGCATGCAACTATAATCAGTAGTAACTGCTACGATTCATTTGCGTATTTTCGGTGAATCAAACCTTATCCCTTCATGAGTTCAGTACATTATTCATGGTCACTAGAATCAAATACTTACAAATATTTTTAACAGAGTGTTTTACTTGGAACTAGTCTGTTGTTTTTTTTACGTGAGATACGCAAAATGGAATATATCCAAGCCATGCAGTAGAGTAACTTGTGACATTTTGCCAAGGCCCTTTACAGCACTATAATAAGGCTATAGGCGGCATTGTACATGATGTATTGCATTTTTGCTTTACAGAAATTATCATTAATATGTTTCAACCTATGCAATTACGACGTTTCTTATTTTTACTAATTGATATTTAACATAAATATTCATAAATGAATATTTGTATTTGTTACTATAACATTCATAAAACATATCGTATTCAGCTCCCAGTATCAGGGAGGGCGGGGACATACTTGTGTTAACCTATCTTGCAACATCAGGGGTGTAAATATTGGCTTCATGGTAACACTGACTACAATATTATTTGGTATCAATATCAAACAATATCCCCAAATATACAAAAAAGTGAAAAGCATATTGGTATGAAATGACTTTTTAAGAGAATAAAATACTAGCAACCCGATATAAGTATTATCTGGCTTGAATTAATTAAGTTTGTAAGTCCTGATCCTTGCTATAGTTTATTCCTTAAAACATTTACTCTTACCATTATATTTCTCTTTGTGAGAAGCTACTGGTTTCATGACCTCAAGCGGAGGCATCAACTCAGACCTAGGCCACATACTGATATATATATACCTGTATATGGTCCCTGACTCCAATGCTCTATTGTTTGAGCAGCATCACATAAAACCATCTGTGATGTCATGAAAGATGGATGATGTCATCTTTAATTATTTTGGCAAGGAGTTGCTATGACAACATGTTGCTATGGGCAGCTTCACACACAATGAAAACAATAGAACAATTGCAATAAACCAGCCAATCAGCATGAAGCCAAAATTACAAAGCTTAGTGAAAAATATTAAACAATAATTGCATTGACATCCTATGAAAAATATATAACAACTTTTATTGACAGTATGGAAAATACATTTTTAGGCTTGTTTAATAAACTTTGATATATTAAATATATTTTACTGTACCTCGATTCATTTCACTGAAATACTTCAGTCAATTTATATTATCATAAAAATTCTTACAGTTTTAAAATAAATAGCTGTTTTAGTTCTTACTTTAGATAAATATTCTATATATGTTTTAATATCCAGTGCTTGAAAATTTCCATGACATTCAGGATTCTCATGCTCCTGAGTGTTAATGGGAGCCCTAATTACCACAGCAGCAAACTTAACGAACCTTGGAACCCCCCTCCCATTTTGTACACTGTCCCTATATAGAGGGTGCAGTTTTTTTCACTCTCTACAGCAATGCTGCAGTTGGCGACAGACTGCACCACTAACTTGATGAGAAAATTAAATATGTACATAGACAAGATTTGTGAACTGAAGTGTACATAAACACGATGTAAACATGAACATTCTGTGAAAAGAAAGAAATTTTATTTCAATATGTTTAGATCCTGGTATAAATTTGAAGCTAGTGATTTTTATTAGCCTGTTTGTGAAATATTTCACAGTCTGCAATCTGCATATAAAGTTGGGCTATACAGGAAGGATGCATATGTTCCAAATGTCGATTGATAGGATTGATCATACAGACCTGGTTCACAGCAGCCATATCCATATGTCTCATGTTATGGTATCATGTGACCAATATGTCACTCTGGGTTTTGATTCATAATCGTAACCTTTAAAACCCAACTATCTTAATCATCCCCGAGTGTGTATATTAAACATCAAGTTTCAACAAGTGACAGTGACTGTAAAAAATTTACTTTAAGATAACCAGTTGTATATGAGGAGGGAGTCATAGAACAAATCATATTGCTAATCCAAATGTACTCAGGCCTTGTATCTGGTGTCAAACTGCCTTTGGTTACATTAGAACTGAGAGTCATCTCATCTGTGAACCCCTGAAAATCCTGTAATGTAAACTATTGTCTGTCAACACGAAACATCTTTACCATCCCAAACAGCTTCCATTGCAGATGGTACTTGGGTGGAATAGCATTACAATGTTTAGCTGACTTCACTGGGTATCATAACGTCTCAATCAAATGTCACCACTATCTCTCTGCCACTGAAGCTGGTTAGACATATTGTTCACACACATGACACTAGCTTTTAAGGTTTCCATACTGAAAGAGTTGGAAAAATGATTTTGTTTGAAAACTTGAGAATCACTACATCTACATATCAAGGCTTGTTGATAAAAGTCACCAATTTCCAAGGTCTCCGAAGGATATTTTGACTTCTATAAACGGGTCTTGATACATGAATATTTTCTAAGTTTATTACATCTTTCAAGCCATATGGCAGTCTAAGTGTTTTCTAAACTCATCATTTCAGTATTCTGTCATCATGGCCCAGACTGCAGCATGTCCAGATCACAATCAGTTGTTACCCTTATACAGATAGACTAACGTTTAGTCTCTTTATAGCATTGAATTTTGCAGGGATGTGCTAGGCTGCTTGGAAAAATAATATGGTTTAGCATTGGGACTGGCTGCAGGACAAATAATATGGTTCAACAGACAGCATCAGTTATAGATGGTCCAGGGGAGGCATGTAATATTTAGTTTTACTGACGTTTCTTTGATAGTAAAGAGGAAAATCTTTTGCAAAAATAACTCCTGGTATATATAGCCTTTTTAAGGGCAATACATGAGGAAGTGGAGCTTGTCACTAACACAGATCATAGTGTAGGAGTACCTTCAGGTCTTGGGAGTCTTGCCTTGTTCTTTGGTAGCCCTGCTTCATGCATCAGCTCAAAAGCAAATGTCACATTGTGAACCTGAAACAGAGCAGGAGAGATGAGTTTGCAAGCTAAGAATAGTGACATGAAATTATCAGAAGTGGCATTAAAAAACAATGGATCTGACATTACTGACAACACAGAACCCAAATCAGGTCTTCTATTTCTTTTTCCGGATCAGTCAGTAATTTTACATCTATATCTCGCTGGACTAAATAAGTAACTCTGGGTCAGAAGGCCAAGTGGTTGATAGCATAAACGTTCCATGCTGTTGGGGTGAATGACATATAACCAGCCAGGTGACAGAGCCTAGCCAACTAATACCCATTTAATCAGCAGGTAAAGCTGATGAAACTTTTAGCAATATTTCCACTACCCACCCTGCCCAACCCACACATGCACTCACACCAGCCCCATTTTACTGAACAAACCTAAGTAAGATGAGTGTGCAAGTTATGTCCCACTGTAAATACCATTTGAATGAATCTGAAACATTTCCCGAAGGGCTTTTTAAAGTAAATATTGTATAACCGTGGGGTGCGAGTGATGTCACATAAAAAGTATGCTACTTATTCCTTGTCACGTTACTGCTGCTTTGTCACCACTTGTCACTAATTACTCTAAACCAAGTCATATAATCACTACATACAACCGGCTTAGCATGTGGATCACACCTGTTTTAATGAAGGCTTGACCTTCACAGCTACCTTGATGTTATACCACGGCCTGACCAGAAGATATACACCAACTTTCATTCAACTTAGCGAGTGAAAAAGCAATTCCACATGCTTGTGTACAGAGGTATTGGACCATACACCAGTGATGCTCCACTGCCTTGTATGACATAGAATCACACACACCCATGAAATACAACATAACAATATATCCATGCATGGCAAAGTCTTGCACAAGGTGTAACATCTTTTTATTTACAGACCGCTACCATATAGCTGGAATATTGCTGAGTGCGACGTAAAACTAAACTCACTCAGTTACTCTTCTATAGTGTGGCCTAATAGTGTACACCCATATTTCCTCCATAGTGTGGGATAATAGTGTACACCCTTATTTCCTCTATAGTGTGGGATAATACTGTACACCCTTATTTCCACTATAGTGTGGGATAATAGTGTACACCCTTATTTTCCACTACAGTATAGTAGTGTACACAAATACCTGTGTGTAACCCTTATTTCCTCTATAGTGTGGGATAATAGGTACACCCTTATTTCCACTATAGTGAGGGATAATAGTGTAACCCTTATTTCCTCTATAGTGTGGCCTAATAGTGTAACACTTATTTCCTCTATAGTGTGGGGATAATAGTATAACCCTATTTCCTCCATGAGTGTGGGATAATAGTATAACCCTTATTTCCTCCATAGTGTGGGATAATAGTATAACACTTATTATTTCTCTATAGTGTGGGATAATAGTGTACACCCTTATTTCCTCTATAGTGTGGGATAATAGTGTACACCCTTATTTCCTCTATAGTGTGGGATAATAGTGTACACCCTTATTTCCTCTATAGTGTGGCCTAATAGTGTAACACTTATTTCCACTATAGTGTGGGATAATAGTGTACACCCTTATTTCCTCTATAGTGTGGCCTAATAGTGTAACACTTATTTCCTCTATAGTGTGGGATAATAGTGTAACCCTTATTTCCTAAATAGTGTGGCCTAATAGTGTACACCCTTATTTCCTCTATAGTGTGGGATAATACTGTACACCCTTATTTCCACTATAGTGTGGCCTAATAGTGTACACCCTTATTTCCTCTATAGTGTGGGATAATAGTGTACACCCTTATTTCCTCTATAGTGTGGGATAATAGTGTACACCCTTATTTCCTCTATAGTGTGGGATAATAGTGTACACCCTTATTTCCTCTATAGTGTGGGATAATAGTGTACACCCTTATTTCCTCTATAGTGTGGGATAATAGTGTACACCCTTATGTCCTCTATAGTGTGGGATAATACTGTAACCCTTATTTCCTCCATAGTGTGGGATAATAGTGTACACCCTTATTTCCACTATAGTGTGGCCTAATAGTGTACACCCTTATTTCCTCTATAGTGTGGCCTAATACTGTACACCCTTATTTCCTCTATAGTGTGGGATAATAGTGTACACCCTTATTTCCTCTATAGTGTGGCCTAATAGTGTACACCCTTATTTCCTCTATAGTGTGGACTAATACCGTACACCCTTATTTCCTCTATAGTGTGGGATAATAGTGTACACCCTTATTTCCTCTCTATTGTGGCCAAATAGTGTAACCCTTATTTCATCTCTAGTGTGGCCTAATAGTGTACACCCTTACTTCCCCTTTAGTCTGGCCTAGTAGCGAGCCCCATGTACGCTCAACTTTGGGAAGTATCACCTGGAAGAATGCCTGTGACATAATTACTCAGGTCAACAGGTAAATGCTGACTAAGTGTTGCCTTCCACCATGGCACACTCCTCACGTAAGCAGGTCGATTGTTAAGCCTCTCTGCTCAAGAAAGCAAACAAATCTCAACTCATGGCCACATTGCTAAAGGTGCACAATGGTGTGGTGATTGTTGTTGTCATATGGTAAAACCTCCCCTTTGGCAGACAGGAAGTCACACATTGTCTCACCAAAGTTGTTGCCTGGTCATGTGTCTTAACTAGGTAATTGACCCAGACAGAAACCCATGGGTTATATCTACTTTCAACATTTTACACCTTCAGTCATACAGCTGGAATATTGCTGGGATAAGTGTTAAAAAAACAACAACAAAAAACATGATTTCTTAAAGATGGTTTAGCCTTGCTAAAAAAGTAATATGTACTCCAGCATATCTGCTTAAAAACGAATGATAAACTCTTACAATGTACTTCATGTTATTGTAGGAGCTGATGGGTAGTTAAGTGGTTAAAGTGTTGTCTCTTCACTTGGGATGATTCCAGACATAACCAAATACTTGTAGCCCATTCATGGTATCCCTGACTGTAATATGGCAAGAATGCTGTTGGACTGACTGACTGAGTTTGGTTTTACGCCACTTTTAGCAATATTCCAGCAACATCACGGCGGGGGACACCAGAAATGGGCTTCACACATTGTGCCCATGTGGGGATTTGAACCCGGGTCTTCGGCGTGACGAGCCAACGCTTTAACCATTAGGCTACCCCACCGCCCCAGAATGCTGTTGGAACCTGGTAAAACCAACCTCTCTAACTTGAGTCTGATTAGCAGATCACTGGAACCATCTCAAGATTAACTTGTACTTTGAAATAAGACCACAAACAGATATGTATGACAAAGTATGACAACATGTCAACAGTAACACGCTATTACACACTGTTTACCTTGGAGACATAAACATATACAGCAGACTGATTAACACAGTGTTTAAACCTGCAGCAGAGGCTGTCAGGGTATGAGATACGGGTCAATAATGCCCAGCAGTTGTCTTGTCGGACACTGCAGTAAGGTAACTGCTTGCCCAAGTACAAAGCATGATGCAAATGACACATGTTTTATACATCAACATAAAGTGAGGGTTGATCTCGAGGGACATGCCGGAATTTCCAGCACATGGCAAGCAACCATGGTTTGCTGCATCTGTCAAGTGTCAGATGAAGTTGGTGGGAGAATGGATTTTCTGTCTTTGAGAAACATGACTTTCAGTAAGTAGGTACATGTACTTGGTAATAAATAGGGCATATACTGATTCCTTAATCACGTAACAGTGCAGAAGTCAATCAGTGAATCACGAACTATTATACATTAAATGGCTAGTTTGTTTGTTTTGAAACAGCACATATTTATGCTGTATAATGGTAGCTTGTGTATAGGCAAGTCTTAAACCACACACACCAGTGACTAGCATTGTGAGCAATGTCCAATGCTGGGAGGGTACTATGAAGCACAGTACATCCGCATCAGCCAACCAGTGGTTGATATTATGACCAACACATCAAACCATCCAGATGTGATGACATGCAACCAGCCAAACCACAGTGTGATGACTCAATCTATTCCAGTGAATAGGGTCAGGCACAGTGTGATGACTTGATCTACTCCAGTGAATAGGGTCAGGCACAGTGTGATGACTTGATCTATTCCAGTGAATAGGGTCAGGCACAGTGTGATGACTTGATCTATTCCAGGGAATAAGGTCAGGCACAGTGTGATGACTCGATCTATTCCAGTGAACAGGGTCAGGCACAGTGTGATGACTTGATCTATTCCAGTGAATAGGGTCAGGCACAGTGAGATGACTTGATCTATTCCAGTGAACAGGGTCAGGCACAGTGTGATGACTCGATCTATTCCAGTGAATAGGGTCAGGCACAGTGAGATGACTTGATCTATTCCAGTGAATAGGGTCAGGCACAGTGTGATGACTTGATCTATTCCAGTGAATAGGGTCAGGCACAGTGTGATGACTTGATCTATTCCAGTGAATAGGGTCAGGCACAGTGTGATGACTTGATCTATTCCAGGGAATAAGGTCAGGCACAGTGTGATCACTCGATCTATTCCAGTGAACAGGGTCAGGCACAGTGTGATGACTCGATCTATTCCAGTGAATAGGGTCAGGCACAGTGAGATGACTTGATCTATTCCAGTGAATAGGGTCAGGCACAGTGAGATGACTCGATCTATTCCAGTGAATAGGGTCAGGCACAGTGTGACGACTTGATCTATTCCAGTGAATAGGGTCAGGCACAGTGTGATGACTTGATCTATTCCAGGGAATAAGGTCAGGCACAGTGTGATGACTCGATCTATTCCAGTGAACAGGGTCAGGCACAGTGTGATGACTCGATCTATTCCAGTGAATAGGGTCAGGCACAGTGAGATGACTTGATCTATTCCAGTGAATAGGGTCAGGCACAGTGTGATGACTTGATCTATTCCAGTGAATAGGGTCAGGCACAGTGTGATGACTTGATCTATTCCAGTGAATAGGGTCAGGCACAGTGTGATGACTTGATCTATTCCAGGGAATAAGGTCAGGCACAGTGTGATGACTCGATCTATTCCAGTGAATAGG